GAAGACTTGAACACTCCAATACAGATGAATCAGAAGAAAATGACCTAAAAGAATAACTTCAGGAGAATGTTTGAGGTCCTTAAAGAGGAAATTAAAAATTCTCTCAAAGGAATGGAGGAAGAGAGAAACAAAAAATTTCAGAAATCAACAAATCCCTTAAACAAAACCAAGAAAAAGCAATCACATAGGTAAAAGAAATGATTCAAGATTTGAAAACTGAAATAGTGACAATAATGAAAACATAAACCAAAAGAATTCTGGAAATGGAAAATATGGGAAAATGATCAGGAACCACAAGTACAAGCATAAACAGCAGAATGCAAAAGATGGACGAGAGCATTGACGATACAATAGAGGAATTAGAATCATAAAGAAAACATTAAATCTAACAAAACTTAGTACAACAAACCAGGAAATATGGGACATCATGAAAAGATCAAATCTAAGAAAAATAGGGATAGAAGTAGGAGAAGTCCAACTTAAAACATGGTAAATATATTAAACAAAATCATAGAAGAAAACTTGCCTAACCTAGACAAAGACATGGATACAAAGATACAAGAAGCTAACAGAAGACCAAACAGACTGGACCAAAAAGGAAGTCCCCTCACCACATAATAATCAAAACACTAAACATACAGAATAAAGAAAGAATATTAAGAGCTGTAATGGAAAAAGATCAAGTAGCAAATGAAGGCAGACATATCAAAATTATACCTGAGTTACCAAGGAAGCAATGAAAACCAGAAGGTCCTAGTCAAGCAATATGCAGACATTAAGAGATCATGGATGCCATCCCAGACTACTATACCCAACAAAACTTTCAATCACCATAGATGGACAAAAGAAGATATTCTAAGACAAACCAGATTTAACGAATACCTTGCCACAAATCCAGCCCTACTCAAGTACTAGAATAAACTCCAACCCAAGTAAGTTAGCTACATACACAAAAACACAGACAACAGATGATCGCAGAGCAACAAATCCCAAAGAAGGAAAAACACACATGATAACATCTCTAACAATGAAAACTAAAATAATAGGAGCTAGCTATCACTGGTCATTAATATCCCTTAATATAAATGAGCTCAATTCACCTATGAAAAATGCAGGCTAACAAATTAGATACAAAAACAGAATCCATGTTTCTGCTGCATACAACAAACATACCTCAATGTTAAATACAGACATCACCTCAGAGTAAAGGATTCTTAGGTCCATTCCAACAAATGGACCTAAGAAACAAGCTGGTATAGCTATCCTAATGTCTAACAAAATAGACTTCAAACTAAACTCAATCAAAAGAGAAAAAGAAGGACATTTTAAATTAGGCACATGAAAAATCCTTTAAGAAAAAACCTCAATACTGAACATCTATGCCCCAAATGCATGGGCACCCTCATATGTAAAATGCACACTACTAAAGCTTAAATCACACATTAAACGGCATACACTAATAGTGGGAGACATCAATACCCCACTCTCACCACTGGACAGGTCTGCCAGACAGAAACTTAACAGAGAAATAAGGAAATTAAAAGATATTATGACTCAAATAGACTTAACAGATATCTATAGACCATTTCATCCAAACAACAGAATATAGCTTCTTCTCAGCACCTCATGGAACCCTCTCAAAAGTTACTACATACAGAGTAACAAAACAAACCCTCAACAGATACAAAAAAATTGGAATAACCCTATGTATCTTATCAGATCATCATGGCTTAAAATTAGAATTCAACAGCAAAACTAATTTCAGAAAGCCCACAAACACATGGAAATTAAACAATGTTCACCTGATTCATCAATGGGTCAAGGAAGATATTTAAGACTTTCTAAAATCCAACAAAATAGAAACAAAGAAAACAATACAAAGAATCAATGAAACCAAGAGTTTGTTCTTCAAGAAAATCAACAATATAGACACACCTTATCAAAACTAACCAAAAGGCAGATAAAGTCTATCCAAATTAACAAAATCAGAAGTGAAAAAGGGGAAATAACAACATACGTGGAGGAAAGACAGAGAATCATCAGGTCATATTTCAAAAACCTGTACTCCACAAAATTGGAAAACTTAAAGGAAATGGACAACTTTCTGGATAAATATCACTTACCAAAATTAAATCAAGACCAGATAAGCATATTAAATAGACCTATAACTGCTGAAGAAACAGTCATCCAAAGTCTTTCAACCAAAAAAAGCCTAGGACCAGATGTTTAAGGCTCAGAAATCTACAAGATTTTCAAAGAACAACTAATACCGATCCTCCACAAATTGTGCCACAAAATTGAAACAGAAGGAACAATGCCAAACTCTTTTCATGAGGCTACAATTACCTTGATACCATTACTAAGAAAGAAAATTACAGACCAATCTCATTCATGAACACTGATGCAAAGACACTCAATAGAATGCTGGCAAACTAAATCCAAGAACTCATCAGAAAAATCATCGACCATGACCAAGTAGACCTCACCCCAGAGATGCAGGGATGGTTCAATATATGAAAATATGTCAATGTCATTGACTATATGAACAAACTGAAAAAGAAAACACATGATTGTTGTCAGGGTTTCTGTTCTGCCTGGTCCTCCAGCTGTTTAGTCACAAGTAATGACACAGAGGTATGTGGATTATGAAAGTTTGGCCTTAGCTTAGGCTTGTTTTAGCTAGCTCTTATAACTTAAATCCTGTCANAAAACTTATTGGCCTATTAGCTCAGGCTTCTTATCAACTCTTTTAACCACACTCAAATGCTTTGTGGCCACCTCTTCCCTGAAAGAGTCAGAGTTTGCACTGGCAGGATGGCCCAAAAAACCCGCATTTTAAAACGGTGTAGCTTTTTTCCTGCTGCAGCTGGAAACAAAAAACCATGCAGTCAGCTTTCCATCAACACCATTTAAGTGTTTTGTGGCAGGGCCTCTTAAAAGAACTGCAAGCTTTTATAGCTTAAGATGGTTCAAGAAGCCTCCCTTAAATGAGATGAATTTTCCTCTAGCAAAGAGCCCACCTGAGAAAATGCTGCTCTCAATAAGCTGTGCCAAACTCTATTCTTTTTGTCTGCAATTACTTCCCAAGCTTTCTCAAGCTTTATGTGGGTGCAGTTGTCCACGTGGGTGCCAAATGAAGAAGGGTGCTTAAAAGAAATCCCATACTAGCTCAGAATTGAGAGATAGATGGTTCTTTATTTAGGGGTAGAGTCACAAATCAGAATCCTCTGCTGAAATGAAGATCAGAAAATGAAATCCGCAACTAGGACAGAGAGGCTGGGAAAGAGGCCGAGAAAGAGGCCAGGAAAGAGGCCGGAAGCAGGGTCTGCATCAGCATAGATAGTATAAGAGGCCACCGCCCAATAGGCGGGTAGCCACTAGTTGTAAGACTTCCTTCAGCACCTGATCATCTCATTAGATGCTGAAAAAGCCTTTGACAAATTACAACATCCCTTTGTGATAATGGACATGGAGAGAGTAGGGATACAAGAAACATACCTAATATAACAAAGGCAATATACAGCAAGTCAACAGCCTACATCAAACTAAATGGAGAAAAACTCAAAACAATCCCACTGAAATCAGGAACAAGACAAGGTTGTCCTCTCTCTCCATTTCCATTCAATATAGTTCTTGAGGTTCTAGTTAGAACAATAAGGCAAAAAATGAGATCAAGGGGATACAAATCAGATAAGAAGAAATCAAACTCTCACTTTTTGCTGCTGATGTGATAGGTTACATAAGTGACCCAAAAAGTTCTACCAAGAAGCTTTTACAACTCATAAATACCTTCAGTGATACAAGATTAACTCAAAAAGAATCAGTAGCCCTCCTTTATACAGATGATAAATGGACTAAGAAAGAAACCAGAAAAACATCACCCTTCACAAAAGCCACAAATAACAAAAAATATCTTGTTGTAATTCTAACAAAACAAGTGAAAAACCTGTAATCTGCTGGAAGGTTTACAGCTAGTAACTACCTGCCTACTGGGGGTTGGCCTCATAGACTATTTCTCTGGATGCTGAAGCACTTCCGTCCCCTTCTCGCATCCCCCTAGATCCTGCTTGGGTGGTAGGATTGTTTTTGGATGGTGTTGTAAGTCCCTCCCAGGTAAATAACGGTCTAACTTTCAATTCTGAGCCAGTGTGAGATATCTTTAAGCACCTGATTTCTCTGCCCATCACCTTTATGACAAGAACTTTAAGTCTTGGAAGAAAGAAATTGAAAAAGACACCAGAAAGTGGAAAGATCTCCCATGCTCTTGGGTAGGTAGAATTAACATAATAAAAATGGCAATCTTACCAAAAGCAATTTACAAATTTAATGCAAAGCCCATTAAAATCCCAGAAAAATCTTCACGGACCTTGAAAGAACAATACTCAACTTCTTATGGAAAAGCAAAAAACGCAGGATAGGCAAAACAATTCTATACAATAAAAGAACTTCTGGAAGCATCACAATCCCTGAGTTCAAACTCTACTACAGAGCTACAGTACTGAAAAAAAGCCTGGCATTGACATAAAAACAGACAGGAAGCCAATGGAACTGAGTTGAAGACCAGATATCAATCTATGCACCTACAAACACCTGATTTTTGACAAAGACGCAATGAATGAATGAATGAATAAATAAATAAATAAATAAATAAATAAATAAATACAATGGAGAAAAGAAAGCATAACTTAGACTAGAAAAAAAGAAAATAAAAACGGCCTTGAGTTCTCTTCTAAATCTATGAATTACATTACGGCAAAAGAGACTTTGTGTCCTACTAGGACTGTATGAACTCATTATGTCAACTCCTTTTTACTAGGCCTCAGCTGCTAACGTAAGTACTACATCCTTATAGTGCCATGGGCTGGTAACTTGACCTTTAATAAATGGTCTGTTGGGATACATTTCAAATGAAATTATAGCAGTGTTTGAGGGAAAAATCTCAACCTAAATATGTATACACTATGGTTTCTTTTTTTAAATACAGTGATTCCAAGTAAATCCCCAAGAGACCTCCTAAATTTTATTTTAAAGAGAACACACCCATCAGTCATGAATACATGTTTACAGTAGAGACTCTGTCCTAAGATTGTCATTATGGCATTTAGGACAAATATTTTCTTTTAAAGAGCCACAAACTGGAAGTCCTTGAGTTGTCATTAGATGGACATCCATCAGGTGTGGATCTAAGATATCAAACAGTGCTGATATTTGCAAATATTTGAGTTTACTTTAAAATCTGTGTCACCTCTCCTCTCAAATAAGTACTTCTAGGTTTCTTGAACCCTGTAGAGTTCAACCATGTTGGCATTGGACTTTACACTTTTCAACAAACTTGGAACCATCAGTTTGGGCAGGATCTGTGCTTTCCAGTTCAGTGCAAACCCCATAAAATACTGCCCAGAGCTCGTTCTTGGCAGGTATGTTTATTTGCAATTGTGTTTGTTCCAAACCACCTGGGCTTTTATAAACTTGTAATACAATGAAAAAGAAATTAATTTTTAAAATAAATATTGAAAGGGTGCGCTGGTTGCTCTTCACTTTCTTCAAGGTTGTTTTACCCTCCTCAGTTCCTCAGCCAACCAGGACTGAAGTCCTAGAAGCCGGTAAGTCTGAGTCTCGGTAAAGGCAGGTGTAAGGAAAACCTACAGGATGTCTTGATAGGAGCTGAGAAAAAAGAGAGAGGCCATTAGGAAAGAAAATGAGGTAACAAAGCAAAGATACTGAGAAAAGGAACATAGGATAGGGGAGACTTACCGGCGCTTCTTGGTGTATATCACATAACAGATTAGAGCAAATATTGGTACTAGTAATACTAGTACTAGCATGATGATAATACCCATGGATAAATGTCTGCCACCTGCTTTGGAAGAATGCAAGGTATCACTAAACAAAGAACCGAGACCTATTTTATGTTCCCTTTTCTAAGCACATGTGAGGAAGCCATGACATTGTTTTTTTTCTTTATTTAAACTCTATCCTTTTAGTCCTCGTGAGTTTAGACTGACCATCTATTGTCAGGATCTGATTGTATGCTATCCAGACAGATGTGAATCTGTCTACCCCCAGCTCTTGAATTTCCTGAATGACTTTGGGTGGTTACCTTATCCTAGCACTGACTTCTTTATCTATAAAGTCAGAATTGCAGTATTTGCTTCAAAGCTAAGTGATGAACTGATATGTTGGTAACAGAGTGGTCAGTGCTCACACAGGAGGCATCAATAACCTACAGCTATGCCTTGGGCTTGGATCCTCTATCCTGGGGTGTGTATCCTCCTGAACTTCTTTATTTGCCCTTTGCCTCTGGGTCTTCTGAGTTTCTTGGTCTACATTCCTCTTACATATATAGAACATC